TATCATGCTGTTTGCATGATATAAACAAAAACACATTTGACCAATATCAATTATAAAGTACCAGAAAAATGTTGGTTGTATTTAAGGTAACAATTTCTGATTGTTTTTCATTTTTAATTCATTAATACTGACATACATCACATTCTGACTCTAACGGGGATGACCAATCAGTTTCTGGGGGTGGTCAGTGCTTCCCCGTAGCTCATTAAATAATACAGGCACCAGATTCTTATAAGCAGAAGTGCATTCACATTAACACTCCCCTGGCTGTGCTAATTTACACCATTAGTGTTAGTAAATACATAGCTACATTGAAAAATGAAAAAAGTAAAACAATGACACAGCATTTTGTTAATCTGATAGTAGTTTGCAACAGGCTTAGTAAATATCCCCTCTGATGTGCAGTCCTAACTTAAGAAAGTGTAACTAGCTTCTTAGAAATGAGTGGTTTGGCAAAGCTTATGTCGTTATCTGACATATAGTGGTACACATAGAATAAGTCAGTGTATTGTTTTCCAAAACATTACTATGCTGAAAATGCAGCTATTATTTACTCATTGTTAAGAAAAACAAACGTGGGCATAAGGACAGGTGTGCAGCATAGTGAAATTTTCTCACACAGTACAGTACATGCTGACATGTGCACTGCAGTACTACAAATGTTAACTTGGAAGAGTGCTGATACAGCAGTGTATACTTGTTTATACCAAAAGACATTTGTCCCTTCTTTGAGTGGTGTAATGTATAAGCCATTGTCAAGCTCCCAGTACTGTCTGCCTTACTATCCTCTATATGTTAGGCACATTTTTGTTGTACACTTCCATTAACCCCAACACTTAATCCTCTACCCAATTTCTTATTTGAATAAGGGTCTACACTAACCAAACTGACACCATAAGCTGCCCAAAACAGCTCTTTGCTCCTCCCCTCATGTCCTGGATAATGCTAATGTCACACAAAGCATGTTAAAGCTCAAAATAAAATCATATGAATTCAGTATAAAAGTAAAATCACGACCATACTACTGTAGGTTTCTAATGTTACCCTAACAAGCACATTAGCTTTAGATGCTAACACACCCAGAAGGAAGAACGCCACACCTGAAGAATGTTTGTCCTTTTGGCTGCTCTCAAAACAGCCAAACGAATATTAACCTTGGTTTTTGTTCTTTCTTTGTTCTGCTCTCTTTTTAAAACAGCGCAACATCGTGTGTCATTGTTTCAGACTTTTGGCAGACGAGAGCTCCTCCATGGTTGACTATTTGAAATGAACGCGAGATTCAAGAAATGCTTTTGGTTATCCTTTGCTAGGTGACAGGTGGGGCTGATTTATGGACCTGACTTTAAAATTGCTGGTTAGAGAAGTTGGAATAACGACCGAAAAGCTTTAGGCGGCAGAGTGTCATAGGGGAGACACCATTTTCTGTCCCGTTTTTACTTGACTTGTCAAATGGTACATAAAATTTCTGGTTAATCCACCTTAAAAGCTGGCCAAATGTAAGATTGGTATTTTATTTTAAACTCTTGTCTTTTTGTAATTAACCATTGGTATTTCATGTGTACTAGGAGGCTAGAATTGTTGTGTGTGTTGTACAGTAAATGGTACAGGCTCCTCTGCTGGGTACCAGCTGCTTTGGCATCGTGCTGTGTTGAGGTCACTGTCTTGTGATCGGAGGGGCTATGTGACACTTCATCTCATTGCAGCCGGCCTCTCAGGAATCTGTGTGTGTGTGTGTGTGTGAGAGAGAGAGAGAGAACCCAGATCTTTTGATGGAAAATTCCAGAGTCATGAAAGCCGGGGCAAAACACCCCGAGGCTTCTAAAGGTATAACACATTTACTGTTCTTGGCTGGAGCTAAAGCTGGATCCGAAACCTTTGAGATATACACTAGTCACATGGGTGTTTAGGTACAGCTTATTAGTTAGCATCGCCACTAGTCTAGCTAGGTGAATACTTGTTTACATGACAAGTAAACAGTTTTCTTAATTGGCTATCAGCCATGTTAACAATCCTCCAGTTTCTGTAGCAGAAGATGCAGCAATTGCATAACAAATATATAAAACCTGAAACTCCACTGTGTCAGCTACCACATTTGTGCCACTGTATCCGTCTTGTCATCAGCCTGTCACAAGGTTTTATATTTGGATACAAATCAAGTCTCTCTACAATTACATCATGTAACCAGAGTAGCCCTGTTTCGTCATTTCCAGGAGGACTTGGTGTCCTCTAAATGACCATAATGTGTACGCGTAGATGTTGGCATACAGTGGGTATGGAAAGTATTCAGACCCCCTTAAATTTTTCACTCACTTGGTGAGAGAGGTACAGAAGAACCCAAAGATGACTGTGGCTGAGCTCCAGAGATGCAGTCGGGAGATGGGAGAAAGTTGTAGAACGTCAACCATCACTGCAGCCCTCCACCAGTCGGGGCTTTATGGCAGAGTGGCCCGACGGAAGCCTCTCCTCCGTGCACGACACATGAAAGCCCAGTGCTCTTAGGAACCTTAAGTGCAGCAGAAATTTTTTTTTGTAACCTTGGCCAGATCTGTGCCTTGCCACAATTCTGTCTGTGAGCTCTTCAGGCAGTTCCTTTGACCTCATGATTCTCATTTGCTCTGACATGCAGTGTGAGCTGTAGGGTCTTATATAGACAGGTGTGTGGCTTTCCTAATCACGTCCAATCAGTATAATCAAACACAGCTGGACTCAAATGAAGGTGTAGAACCATCTCAGGGATGATCAGAAGAAATGGACAGCACCTAAGTTAAATATATGAGTGTCACAGCAAAGGGTCTGAATACTTATGACCATGTGATATTTCAGTTTTTCTTTTTTAATAAATCTGCAAAAATGTAAAAAATTCTGTGTTTTTCTGTCAATATGGGGTGCTGTGTGTACATTAATGAGGAAAAAAATGAACTTAAATGATTTTAGCATATGGCTGCAATATAACAAAGAGGGAAAAATTTAAGGGGATCTGAATACTTTCCGTACCCACTGTACATTTGAGTGTATTGTAGGCATGTGTGATGCAGATGTCCTGTTGTTACCCTCCAGAAGACGCAGGGGGGGAGTGATTAAATCAGCAAAACTGGATGACTGCCAATGCCACTATCTTTATTTGAGGATTCAGCACCCATTTATACAAACTGGGTTGAGTGTTTTTGTTCATTATTATTGCCAATACCAAGAATAGATTACAAACAAATAACGTACAAACATATTTACTGGTGTTGTCAAAAGAAGATTTTTTTTTTTTTTGGATATATATCAATTCTGAATATTTGAAAAAGTTTCAATACTCATTTTCCATAGTATCGATACACCAATACCAGCTGTGCTTTCTTGGTCTCTTACCAACTGAGTTTACACACACACACACACACACACACACACACACACACCACTGCAGTGCCTGCAGCCTCGTCTCTTCTCACTCACTCACTCACAGTGTTGTCTGCCTCTTGTCAATCGTCGCATTTGGTCCGGTTGAATTTTAAGATAACGACAGGTCGTGGAATATTGTGGGGTTTACTCTGGTGTTAGCTCATTACATATGACAAGTGCAGAGCCTCTGCAACAGGTTTTGACTAACAAAGGAAACGGCACTGCTCTTTAGCGATGCTACAGAGCAGTGCTAATACTACGTGGTAACACAACAAATTCAGCAAAGCATCTGAACAACTGACACGCTGACCTCCTATAAAGAATTTCAAGAGGTTGGCGACAGCTCCCATTTCAGTATCAGAAGCACTAAATAAGGTGCCCAATAAACTTAGGTTTGTTGGCCCAACAGCTATGTTGTTATTCTCAAAGATAAGCTAATCTCCCTCAGAACTATCAGGTTTGAGGAATCTGACAGCAGAGATTCAAATCATAGGAGACTACTTAAATGAATCGGATGCTGCTGTGCTTAAAAAGGTTGTTTATTAGTTTTTCTAAATAGCTGCTTTTAGTGAAGACATGAACTCTGTCAGTATACATGTATTCCACAGTTGTACAACATACTTGAATGATCTCAATTAATGCTGCCGTTAGATGTTATTCTGTGTTTTCTAGGAGCCCCCTCTTTGCTCTCCCTCTTTTCCCCTTCCTGCCTTCAACAGGAAGTCTGCCATGTCAGGCTTCAGATGGCCTCATCATTATGTATGTTACAAGGAAATTGAGAGTTCAGGATGATACTCAACAGAATTTTTCTGATGAGGTGCTGCTGTTTGTGAGTTCATGCAGGATCAGTGCTTGTCATTTTTCATGCACGGACTACTTGTTCATCTATTTTTGGCAGGAGCAGTGTTTTTGGGGCAGCCCCATTAGCCTTGCTTCAGTAATTCGTTTACAGTGGTGTCACACACCATCACCGTCCACTTTGCTGGAGCCATTGTCGAGGGCTCAGCAGTTACCCAAGAGTCGAAGGTCGTGGCTGAGGTCAGGTTACCCAGACAAGCTGGAATCCAGAGAAAACACTTTAACAGTGCACAATTTGACTCTTCATCATTTTAAGTAGTGCAATTAATCAACTATCTACTTGTTGTTTCTTGTCTGTTGGTAATATTTATTGTGTTGTTGTTAATGGGTTTCCTGTGCTGGGTCATGTTAGATTGAGCCTGGCCTACTCACAAGCTTCCCTTACCTTGTTTGCTGGTTGTTTTCTTGGCACTTTGCTCTTTTGTGATTACTGTGTCATCACAGCAGTATTGCAAGTGCGCTGGGGCCATGCCCTGGAATCGCTGCCTGTAATTTAAGTGTCAACTAAATACCATTTAATGTGAATGTGTTGTTTGTATTTTGAAACTCAGGAGCTGGTAAATACATTGCATGGTTTAAGATGAATGCTTTCTTGTGTTGTGTCCTCACTGTCCTTTCTGTTTGTTTTTGTCTTCCATACCCCCTTCTTCCCTCACTGTTTCCTTCTTCATCTCACCCTCTCCTCACCACTTCACCCTCTTTCATCATTCATCCTTTTCTCTCCCTCCATCCTTTTCTCTTTTCTCTATTTCCAGGTGGCTATAAAAATAGTGGATAAGACCCAGTTGGATGATGAGAACCTGAAAAAGATCTTCAGAGAGGTGCAAATCATGAAGTTGCTGAAGCACCCTCACATAATCCGCCTCTACCAGGTAGACACTCGTTCGTCCACTCGTCCACAGAGCCGATAAGACACTGCTTAGATCTTACATCAGAGACTGAAGGCCCACTAGGAAAGCGACAAATAAAATGTTTATTGGTTTAGCAGGATTTGATGTTACCTGGTGTTTTTTTTTTCTTTCTTTTTCTTCACTGTAATTGTACTAAGGATTTGAAGATTAGATGTTAATCTAACATTACTCTTAAGTTTTCAGTAAGTAACCCTGACTTTAAACTCTCACTCATGCATGTATTGAGTGCTACACTGTTTCCCTTTTATATGATTTTTCTTGTTTGTGTGCCAAACAATGCTTGCTCATCTTGTTGCGTAACAGGTAAACCGCTCATCACTAGATGCTGGCCTGATATGTAGATCCTGGTTGTTTTGATTTGTTTGTTTCTTTAGGTGATGGAGACAGAGAGAATGATCTATCTGGTGACAGAGTATGCTAGTGGTGGAGAAATATTCGGTAAGGGAGTTCCCTACTGCTAACCTTGTTGAGGATTGTCCTGTCGTTGCATCTGCTTCAGCTTTTCATTTTGTGCTTGTTTCCTTTTTAATTTCTGATTCATGTCAAATTATGTGAAATGTGCAATATGCAAAAGTATTGTGTCCTATAACACAGTATTTGTCATATCCGGTCTAATGTCCAATTTCTGCTTTTTTAAAAATCAAGAATTAATAAAAAAAAAGTGTCACTGTATTTTTCCTTCATGATGAATGAAGTAATATTTTAGGCCAAATCCAAACATGTATGTTGATCTACTCAGTTTCCTGGCTTGCATTTTAACAAAACCCTGAGCACAAGAACTCATCAGACACACTGTGCCTGAGTAACATAATTATCTTAAAGGTACTTATGTGTTTGTATGTGTAGACCATCTTGTGGCTCATGGCCGTATGGCGGAAAAGGATGCCAGAAAGAAATTCAAGCAGATTGTGGCAGCAGTCCATTTTTGTCACTGTCGCAACATCGTCCACCGAGACTTGAAGGCTGAGAATCTGCTCCTGGACCACAACCTCAACATCAAAATTGCAGGTATGTTTGTACTTAAGCATCTGTGGGTGGGTATCTTACTTTAGTGGTTTTCGGTTGTCTTGGTGAGTGGGCGTAGGCAAGTGTCAGCATGTACTCTTGGAGCATTTTCCAGGATTAATTGAATTTACTCTGTCAAGGAAAATGATAAGATTGAATAAACTTCCTCACTCCCCCCCCATCAGATTTTGGCTTCAGTAACCTGTTTTCTCGAGGCCAGCTGTTAAAGACATGGTGTGGGAGCCCTCCGTATGCCGCACCAGAACTTTTTGAGGGCAAGGAGTATGATGGACCTAAAGTAGATATATGGGTGAGTAGACTTTAGGTATGCATGAGGCTCCACTGAACTGCAGCAGATGGTGCGGCTAACTGAGTTGAACCTGAAGGCATGAGAGGCCATGAAAATGTTCTTTCTTAAAATGTAGTCTTTAAAAATAATGTTCTCATAATTTGTTTTCTGTTTTTTTTTTTTTCTTCTGTATAGAGCTTAGGTGTGGTGTTATATGTGTTGGTGTGCGGCGCCCTGCCCTTTGATGGCAGCACTCTACAAAATTTGCGAGCACGTGTCCTCAGTGGCAAGTTCCGCATTCCCTTCTTCATGTCCACAGGTACTAACCCTCTCAACTTTCACTCCCCTTGTCTTTTCACTTCCTCTTCCAGACCAAACCTTAATCAAGATGTCACTAGTTTTATTCCCCAACTAAAGCCTAAAGAAATTTGGAAGTACTACTTTACCAAATGGAGCTTTTTCATTTTTCACCTTTGTAGAGAACAGTGGCGTAAGTCACAGAAAATGATGGTTATGGGAGAAATGTGTCAGAACATACAGTATGGGGCTGCATAGCCACTGACCTGTCAGTGCTTCTGGCAATCAAAAACTGTTTTCACTATCGGAACCTAATGAACGGTACACCCCGTGCTTCTCTTAACCATCACCCGGTATAACCTCATGGGTTGGCACTGACCATCCTGCTTTGTTTTTCCACTGTATTTTGTACCATGTCAGTCTCTAGTTAGAGGAGGGAGGAGCTGTGTTCCCCTCTCTCTCTCTCTCACACACACACACACACACACACTCTCAGCTGAGCAAGACGTGAAGGATTAGGTCGCGTTCAGAATGAGCTTCAAAGGTGTGAAAAAGCACAGCTCTCCATTAATTTTTATGGGGCATTGCATTCACTGCAGCCATCATCAGCACCACACAGGGCTCCAGTGAAAAAGTTGGATCTGGTTCAACTTTAAGCACATCGGACGTTCACATCATCCATCAAAGGCGCTGTGTTGACCAGTCACACACGAGGGACAGTCGGAACGCGGACACCCAGAGAAGGAAGACTCTTTTGTTTACCTTGTTGGCATGAGTATTCACTGCTATTCACTGTCAAATCTGGGCCACAGTTAATGCACCATAGTGACAAGCCATGCATTTTTGTTAGCATTGGATATTAAACGGTGTTTTTTGTTTATCAATGCCGACACACTAGTGGCTGGTGATAAGGTAGAGTAAGCTGTGTTAACACAATGCAAATTCCCAGGCTGGAAACGTTAATGAAGCCGCTCATTTCGACTCGTGACAGGGTGCCTGTATCATACACACCTTGATTTTTAGTGCTACTTCCTGAGGGGTGCCAAAATTTAGCTCCAAAGTGGGCAGAGGGCAGCGGAAACAAACACAGAGAACATGCATTACTCAGCTTGACACGTTTTCTTGGTTCCTATAATGGAAAAGCCCCTATAAAGTTCATCAGTGCATTTATTTGCCATGAAAGCACAGCAGGATTGAAATCTGTTGTAGTCAATATCAGCCACTTTTCTGCTTGAGGAACACTATAACAACTTATAAAAGTTAATTACAATGGTGAGCACTTACTGTTCTAGACATTTTGAGAAGAGTATCACTTTGTGAGCATTTAAAATATGAAAAATTCAGACTAGAACCACATAAATTAATTTTCTGGACTCAGAATAAGACTACAATAGTTTAAAAAACACTAATGATAACATGGCAGATTTTTATTTATTTTTTTATTCAAAACAGTGCAAATTAATGTCAGCTATTTCTGGTGATTTCTACCACTCTGAAGCGTTGCCAAACATTTATTGGAGCAGAGCTTATCATTAAGTTGTTTTAATATTATCTTCACTGTATATTTGTGCCTCATGTAAGTGAATATGTATGCTTGTGTGTTATTACAGACTGTGAGTACTTGATCAGACACATGTTAGTGCTGGAGCCCAGCAGACGGTTGACAATGGAGCAGATATGTAAAAACAAATGGATGAGACAAGGAGACCCAGACCCGGACTTTGACAGGGTGAGACCCCTTTTGGAAGTGTTCTGCAGTGTGTTCACTCAGGGAAAGGCATTTAACTAAAGCAAATACATTTTTTACTTGCCTAATTTTCCAGTTTGGAGTTTTATAATAGTCCTATACCCATGTATTTTACTGCGTGTCTTATTGCTGCTGTTTGTAGAATTTGAGGATAGTAGTGTCAGAGTTAGATGAGAAGATTGATACCACATTCCAATCTGTCCATTAAATATAAGATTACTTATCACAATGACAATCTAGCCACAGGGCATTCAAGTCAGTGACTTCTGTGCCGGTCCCAAGCCCGGATAAATAGAGAGAGTTGTGTCAGAAAGGGCATCCTACGTAAAATGTGCCAAGTGAGTGTACCCTGCTAGCCTGGCTCTGTCCAGAGGTACCATAATATTCGTACCAGCATTTATTTCCTAAAATGGTGAACTATTACTTAGTTTTTACAATGGAGTAGGAGCGCCAAACTGTTAAAGCCTATGCAAATTTGAGACCATAACTTGACACTGCCCTGATGGTTTCTTATTAGTCCCCGCTCATCTTTTCTTCTCTTCTCCCTTCCAGCTGATAGCAGAGTGTGAGCAGGTGAAAACGGAGAGAGAGACAGAACTCATCAACGAGCAGGTGCTGATAGCCATGTCTGAAATGGGCCTGGACCGAGAACGCACTCTTCAGGTTGAGAAACAGTCACACTGATGTACTTAAATTGTCAATGCTGACGTTTGTCAAAAGTAATTTCAGGAATGTATTTCTATCCTGCTCCTTCCTTTCTAGTCCCTACAAACAGATGCATATGATCACTACAGTGCCATCTACAGCCTACTGGCTGACCGCCTCAAGAAACACAAGACCCTGCGTGTTGCCCAGCCCACACCACGCTCTATTAGCTATCCTCTTAATCCTGTTCAGGTGACGTATTGTCATTTTATGCTAGAGGCTTTACAACCAATGTGTCAATTTTGACCCACTTCCAGTAGTACTGTGGAAAGTTTGGCCTTTTCTATGGAAAGTTTTTACAATGTGATTTCTAGAGCCAGTTGGTGACAACGTCATCTTAACACTCAATATAATTGATGGTTGATTTTGTATCTGTATATAGTGTAGGGCTGAATGATTAATCATTTTCAAATCAAAATTACAACTTAACAGAACATGATTTTCAAACAACAAAATCTGAGATTTAAACTGCCCTTAAAACGTGTTTTTAAACACTTAAGATTCTAAGCAATCCAATTCTGTTGCACACACCTGCCCTCCTCCTTAGGCTTCACATGAAACCTGAAGAGTGAATGAGTGAAAGTGGACGAAGAAAGGCGCCAGTAAATTTGACTTTGGTGCTGCTAGCCGCATTGAAAATAGCCACAGCAGAAACAAACCCACATTTCAATGACCAAGAGACAGCAGTAGTGTCAAAGCCAAACAGTACATCAGGTATCTAGACCTATTAGACCATGGGGCGCATGGCAGGGACAGGTAGGCCTAATGTAGCCTCCTGAGCGTACCTAGCTAGGGAAGTGTCAGTGCAAAGCAGCACCACAATTTCTTCCAACATTATAAAAAAAAAGGAGAACACAGTTGCCTGTACGGGACTGTTATGATAAATAAAACACTTATCCCATTGTCCCATACTGGATCAATACAGGACGCCACTTGTCATTTTTAATGCTTAAATGTATTGTTTACAATGGTGAAGACATCATAATACAAAGTAAAACAAAACCAGTTTAGAAAAGCTTTCAGATCAGAGGATAAACACAGGCTCAGTCATCTTTGCACGTGATGATTTCTTGCATTAAAGAAGTATTGGACCCTTTCTTTGATAGTCTTCAAGGTACACAGCAGAGTTTGGCATAGCTGTTTCATCAATCTGACATGTAGTTGTCACCATGTCTGTCCACTGAGTTGAGGTGATTGGCTTTAACCCACATCTGCCAATCCCACTTCACTAAGAAGATTGTTAAATATGAGTGCAATCCTCTCTTGACCCATGTGTGTTTCTTTCCACCTGTGTTCAGCAGACAGATCCACAAAATAATCCTGTTAGCATGACTGTTCCCCATGTCCAGCTCATTAACCCAGAGAACCAGATTGTTGAGGTGAGTCGACAACAGCGTCCATGTGGTTTTATCAGCCTCCAATGGGTGACCAGCAGTGATCCTGCTGGATATGCAAGCTAGGACTAGTCAAATTGGTTCTCTTTGTAACTGCTTCTAACCTTGACTGGTAAAAATGGTTGTTACTCCTATGCCGTAGTCCCTCGATCTAACAAGGAATTGCTAAAAGAGGTTGTATAGATGAGTCAACACAGCGACATCTGGTCTTCATTTTTGATGATTTGTGTATTTTTGTTACTGGCTGCCTGTCCATTATTTACGGTTGTCTAGCACAGTTTACTACTGTCAGTATAGCCTGGGATCTATGTCATAAAATATGATCCGGCACAGACACTCAAACATAACACATTGTGTAAAAGCTGACTCACAAAGACTGTGAAACACAGGAATGTGTCAGAACACTGCAACAGGGGTTTTAAGAGGACCTGAACTTTAAAGTATATACATAAGATTTGGAATACATTTTACAGATGTGTGCTCTTTCTTGCTGTGTTGCGTGCAACACACACTAGTGAAGGCCATTACTAATGACCACGTGTGTATTTGTTATTTAGCCGGATGGCAGCATGGCACTGGACAGTGATGAAGGGGAGGAACCATCTCCTGAGGCCATGGCTCGCTACCTTTCAATGAGGCGCCACACTGTGGGAGTACCAGACCAAAGGTAACTCTCCCGTCTGCTATGAGTTAGGATTCTGTTATTGCAGTGTTTTCACTCTGTAACATGAGCTGTATGTAACATTAGGTGCCAACTATTTATATTTGTACAAAGAGGGTGCTTTAAATACAGAATTCAATTTAAGGCCTTACTTTTTGTCTGCAAGTCTCTCAGTGGTCTGGGCCCAAACTATATCAAAGAAATGTTTGCTGAATACAAGCCTGGTGGTGCCCAGAGTTCGAACTAAACAAGGTGAAAGTGCTTTTAGCCATTATGCTGCCCGCTGCTGGAATCAGCTCCCATTAGAACTTCAATCTGCCCCAACTGTAGACACTTTTAAAACTAAACTAAACTTTTAATGGTTCTTAATTCCACCCAGTCGGTTGTTACAGCTTGCAGGCTGATTAATATTGTGGAATACAAGGGTTTTCTTGAAATAATTTGCATCGCATCCAAAGACTGCATGTTTGTGGTTTACACGGGCATGTCTTAAGTGTTATGTTCATGAGCTGGAATGTTTAAATGCCAGATCATGTATATAATAACCCTATAAGCTCTTTCAAGGATATGAAGTCATGCAAACAACATATCAAGTTTCAGTTAAGTGTAATGGATAAAATTATAGGTTAAATTAAGTTTGTGTATTTTGGCAATTAAAGTTTTTCTCTACTCTAAGAAGATCCTCTAATGTAACACACGGTTTTCATTCATATTTTCTAATGTTTCGGTAGAAGACTGCATCATAGTGGTATTCATTTAAGGCACTTGTCAAAAATGGTAGATGCTGTTTCTCTGCCAGCTACTGAGCAAGTTATGGCTATGGTGTCAAGTTTTAAAGCAGTAAAATGTAACACTTGCCAGCTATTTATAGCTTATTAAATGATCAGTGGGAGATCTCAAATAGGAACTTTTATTGGTGGACATGTTCATGCAGAGATAGTGGAGTGTGAGGTATTAAATGTGCATTTAAACATTCTGTCCTAAATTGAATTTTGACTACTATGTATATGAGCTAGAAACATAATCACTGAGTCCTTCCTGTCATTCTCTCTTCTCCCACCACAGGACGGAGATGCAGGAGGACCTCCAGAAATTGCCACCGGGTTTTCCTCGTGGTGCAGTGCCCCAGCCCCCCTTCCCTTCACTGGCCCCCACTATGGGGCAAATGCATACTCTCATGCCCACACAGAGCCTGCAGCCCACACAGCAGCTGGAGTACAAGGTACATTCATTTGGGTTAGATTGATGGGTCTTCCAGTCAGCAATATAAGACCTCTGGAAGTCATTGGTTAACTTGCAGAAACCTGTGTGTGATCGGTCTAAATATCACCTTAATTAATTTTCTGCCTCGGTCTGACTTCTTGTGTCTGCTGACCCTCCAGGAACAGTCATTGCTGCAGCCACCTACCCTACAGCTGCTCAACGGCATGGGGCCTCTGGGTCGAAGGGCTTCCGACGGTGGTGCCAATATTCAACTACACGCTCAGCTCCTCAAGAGGCCCCGGGGGCCCTCACCACTTGTCGCCAGCCCAGTAAGTATAGATGCAACTCCTAAGGATATGGATTTCTGTGCACTTTATTGTCCCATCATCTAAACTGTAGGAGTGATGACCAGTAAACTGTTTTCCTCTCTCAGCACCCTATCCCTGCAGTAGCTCCGGTGGATGAGGAGGGTTCAGATGGAGAGCCAGACCAAGAGGCAGTACAGAGGTAACCCACGGTCCCGGGTTTTGGTGAAGGGGTATACTATACAGAGGTGCTGTCTAAACTGGAAACTGGAAGGCCTGTAACCTGTGACATTGCTTTAATGAGTTCTCTGTGAATGGTGAAGCAAGCACTGTGCTAAGTTACACTGATTCTTGACTTTTTTAAAACAGTTTTTATTATTAGTTAGATTTACACTTATTCTGTTAAGGCTTTATCTCACATTGTTTAAAATAACTAATTTTGAACACAGATCTGCATCATAACCTTCTATGTAAATAAAACTTTTACAGGCCTAAAATACATCAGGCTAGTGACATGCAGTACATATCATTTTGTTGTATCCAGAGCTTAATCTGCAATGTTTGCGATTAGAGGAAATGTGTTTAATTCTGAATACAAAAATGCAAATGTCCAAACCATTAGAGGTTTGTCTAAAATAAGAGCTTTGACGTAGAAGTAGCTGAAATTAAACAAGGTTAAGTGCAGGTATAGCTTTGGCATTTGGGGATGTGGTGTTCAATCCAGAAGTCCAGGTAGGGTTTCCCAGCTGGTCCTCTTCAGACAGCACCCTCTGTAGACTTCGCTGGTGTCCTGGGTTGCTGGGAGTGAGTGCCTTCAGGCCGCTCTACTTTTTCCCACGGGAGGTGGCCACCCTGCTGTGTGGTGCTTACCATCACTCCTGCTTTCTCATCACGCAAATGCCTCCTGCCACAATTCCAAACTGAATCTGCCACTAAATCCTATCTCTCAAGATCTTTGGCCAGTAAGTGCCAAATTATTCTTCTGACTTTCTCACTTCTTCTTACACAGCTTTGCTAACTCTGAAGCTTGCAAAACCAACTATTAAAAAATGGCAACCAGTCCAATAATTTGGATGCTGGGGGGTTGTGGGTTACCCATAAGCTTTTAACATTCATCTATGGTATCATTTTGTTGTATGCTTTTCTGATTGGCTAAGATTATATGGCAGAGGTGGGAAGAGGTGGGCCTTTCCCCCCATCTCCATTAGCAAATGAGGACAGAGAGCTGACCAGCGCTGCTTCCTGTCTCCCACCCTCACCCCCGTCCTCCCCCCTCCCTGCGGCCCAGGTACCTGGCGAACCGCTCCAAGCGGCACACGACGCACGCGCTCATGAGCACGTCGCATGGCGAGCCCTCTGCAGAATCACAGCGGCCCCAGGGCCCCCGCCAGAGGGGGGGCTGGGCCCCCGACACACACACCCGGTGAGGGGACACGTCCGCTCCAAGCTGTATATGCACAAACACTTACACACAAACACACAGATCCACACATGAAGTGAGGCCCATATCAAGCCTAACTCTTCATCTTTAATCTTTCTTACACATACTTGCACAAACAGCTGATCTGACATCTCACTGATGAAGTGTTCACACCAGGAGAGGGGTGTGTGCCTTCCATAGAGGAAGGTTTTTTTCCCCCCCCTCAGACAGTGGTGTTGGAGGTGTCGGGTGTGGCACAGGGCAGATATATTGCCACATCACCAATGATAGTAGTAATAATAGTTTCTTCCCCACAAACCTGGAACCTGGAAAGAGCAGGTATGTGACACTCATTCTCAAGATTTAGGAGATTGCTCTTGTATGAGCAGCCCCTCACAGTGAAATCAAGTCTGTCTGGTTTCTCTTAAATACTGACCTTTTTTTGTGTGCATGTTATTCTAGCTGTTGTACACCATGATCTGCGGTGATCGGTTTTTGATGAAAAATGTTTCATGATGAGAAATGTTTCATGATGAGAATGACAATTTCATCACCCAGGCCTGTCAAATATGAATCATGTCCAGTAATTTAGTTTTCAAGAAGCATGCTATCATGTAATGTAGTACTTAATGTTCACTGTACAGTTAAAACTAGTTGACCTCTAAGTACTGCACAGAGAAACATCTGTTCTCAATGGTAAGTGGAGCAAAGAACTCCTCTAGAAGCATTAATTTAATGTCATACATTGGCTGTGTTGCTTTTAGATGAACTTCAGTTAAGAACGGTATGTATGTAATGTCAGATTTTAGTATTACTTAAAGGTAACATTTCACACAGGTTTGTAGAGCTCATGCTTGTTGTGTGTTTCTGTCTCTCATCTGTATTTGTATGATTGGATGTTTGTGTCATTGTGTCTCTTATCTGTCCTGCTGTGTGTGTGTGTGTGTTTGTGTCTGGTCCCTGTGGTCACCTCCTCAGATCTAGCTATAAGGACTGTAACACTCTTCACCTCCCCATGGAGCGCTTCTCACCTGTCAGACGGTTTTCTGATGGTGCCGCCACCATCCAGGCCTTCAAGGCTCATCTAGAGAACAGCAGCCTCATTAAGCAACTTAAGCAGGTACGTCAAAGTGAATTAATGACATTTTATTTTTGCTGAAGATAAATTTGGTATCATAACTTTGGTTATGTTAATGTTGCTTAGGTTTAGAATGTACAGAATTACACATTACTGTATGCCCGGCACATTTTAGACAGGTCATTTCAAGAGATAAATATAGACCCAGTGGCAGTGAAATAATGTGATATCCCCATTTTTTGAGTTCTTTTTCCTTCAGGATATAAAGAGAGTAAAGTGGCATTCCTCTGCACAGTTGATAGTGATTAATCAATAACATTGACTCAACAATTACTTCACCAGGTGCTGAGGTTTTAGAAATTCCCCGTTGGTCTGTACTTTGCTTTTCCCCAACCCCCTGCCTTTTCAGCTGCCCACAGAAGTAGGACTGCTAGATGCCTTCGAACAGTGATGCCACTCATTTAGCTCTGAAGGAAAAAGTGCAGAAATGGTGATACATTGAAGCTAGTCTGATGCAGTTTTGACTCCTTTGGGAAAACAAACCAAGATCCCTGGCACTGCAAATCTGTGCTTTACGAGATGAGTTAACCTCAGTGATGCAGCAGTCAATCTCCTAATGTGCACCACTGTGACAAGACTCTTATTGGCAATCTGTCTCCTCATGCTTTCTCTTCTGGCCTCAGCCATTTCATTGCAAAATAAATATCAAGCTACAATGAAAAACTAATGACGAAAACCCTAGATGAGACTGGCAAACCCATTATGATTAAATGTTGTCATAGAAGACTCTGATTTATTTGTGGTTTTTCACCTTTCTAGTATTTTAGTTTTCAGCCGACTAATTTCAGGTATTTTTAAATAGCGTTATTCTGAGGACGTTGAGTGGCATCACTTATCACTTAACAGATTTGGCGAGTTTAGGGAGCTATCACAGTTCACAGTTCCCTTTTTTTCCCAGTTTGTGTTTAACAGTTAAAATAGTTGATAGTCTGGAGAGAGAAAAATTGTTATTAACTATGTTCACAAATGTTAATGTTATCAACACTTCAACCACTCAAACAGTATTTTACCTTCCCTTCTTTCCCATAGCGAAATGTCTGGTGATGTTGACAAAAAAGTGTGACCAGATTATTATGAGTGATGTCATTTAGATTTACAGTAATCTAGGTGTACAGTATTTCTTAAGATGAAGTCAAGCAGTGTCATTTGTCTGAGAAAACCTCCAGCTGCTTCTTGAGACATAACATCATTCGCAGTGACACTGCATTGAGATTACCTCGCCTGGTAGGAGGTGGTTGGTTGCGTGAGAGGTAATCATCTTCTTTTAGGCATGCAAGGACATGCTGAGATTATCTATACTCCCACGTCTTTGGAGGGTTAATAAGGGTAGAACAGAGGTTAATGTGCACATGACCTATAATCAGGGCAAGACCTTTGAAAAGATGAAATGTTTAATGAATTTTCTACTACTAAGACTAATTTTACAGCTGAAAAGAAATTTGGCATAAACAAATGCAGGAAAAATTATATTGAATTATATTATATTGACCTTAGAGTTTAGTGTATATGTTGTAGTTAGTCTTACATGTGGGCAAGCCAATCCCGGCCGGGCGAAGGCGGGGTACACCCTGGACAGGTCGCCAATCCATCGCAGGGCTCTTTCCAGTACAATTAGTTTTAATTAACTAAATGTGATTAGTATTAGGGCTGCACAACAAATAATTTTATGAGCGTGATTTAGATCTTTGTGCGATCTCAGCCTCACATGAGAGTAGTTCTGCTGTGTTTGCATGAGTTGGGAGATGCCTTGCATCAAACCAAGCGCTCCCTTTTCCTTGCTAAGCTGAATTAACCAATAACCGCAAAGTAATATATTTCTGCCTCAACTGCTGTTCATCACTCGGTATACAGGGCAGGCAGCGCAATGTTTGAAAAGTAGTTGCAGGATGGCACAGAATATCTCTCACGTCAAACGTGTTGGATTTGTTTTTGAATCAGTCTTCTCTTCCTGTCTGTAGCTCATCACATGATGTAGCGTATTCCTGCTATTGGTTAACACGGTTTAGCAAGGAAAAGGGAGCACTTCATTTGATGCAAGGCATCTCTCTGCTGATGCAAACATGGCAGAATAATTGCCACATGAGAATGAGATAGCAGAGGGATCTAAATCACACTCAAAATGATATACCATGCATGCATACCGTGCATGATAAAGTATTACAGCTTAGTTTTATGAGTGCACCTGTATTGTTCATGTCATTTATACTGACTTTCAGCTAACAGTCAGCCAGGTAATGGCAATGTTAAACTTTGTTGCTACTGAGAGACATAGAAAGTGTTGCCTCTAAACACTAAACATAATAAACTAATTACACAAAGCAGAATTTTCATATAAACTGTTGAGATATGATTAAGGCGGAGATTTGCTTCAGTTGTAATTGTTAGTGAGATTAAAGGATTTTTAAGAAATCCCAAACAAGTGTTCAAAGGTTACTTATTGCTGAAGAACTGATCAATTAGCTTTGATAAGTTGTTTGTGATAAATTCATTTTTTACACAGATTTTGTTACGTTCTTCAGGAGCTTAGAGGAACTAAACTACAGCCACTGGTGGATCATTTTTTTTAAAGTATAGGCCGCTTTTCTGCACCCAACACATTGCCCCTCCAATTTTTGTTTTGTTTTTCATGTTGGCATTTAACTTGAATATGTATGGCCCAATCCTGTTTCCTTAATAGGAGTGTGAGCAGCTCCAGAAAATGTACGCTGCCCAGCAGGATGAGCGACTCCTGGAGCACACCCAGCAACAGCATATCCTCTACCAGCAAGAGCAACAGATCCTCCACCAGCAAATCCAGGTATGTGAAGCTGGCAAAGAGCTATAATAAAGACATAGTCACAAGCCAAAACTACTCTCTCAATCCAGTGTGGTCACAGGAAGCAATTTATAATCTTTCATGCAAATTTGGTTGAGCTGTACTACTTGACTTTGGAAAGTGTTGTGATCATACTTGAAGTATGAACACCTAACTCTTACATTATGCATGCAATGCATTGATCTATGTGGTTGTCTATAAAGCATAGATATTAGCTTTATAGACATGCTATTGATTTGTTTCACAGGAAGATTTGCTATCCTACTTTGAACTTTGTTTCAAATTTAATTTTTCTTTCCCTGCAGGGTCTGTCTTTAGGCCATGGAGAGAACCAGCCCAGTCACCTAACCCACCAGCTTCAGAGGTGACAACACACACACACACACACACACACACACATATTACTCATCATCTATTGAACAATGAACTTGATACTGTGGTGCAGTGCGATCAACTAAGTGTTACATCATTGTCGTGTCTTTCTCTCTTCCTCTCCTACTATGTTCTGTCCTCCCCCAGGTTGCGAATCCAGCCCTCCAGCCCTCCGCCAACACATCCCAGCAACCACCTCTTCAGGCAACCCAATCAGAGCCCTCCGCCTGGCTCTGCAGGCATAATGCAAGCGCACGGTTAGTAATATCATTGCTAGTGTTTAAGTGCTTCTTACATTGTAGGTGATGTAGTTGCCTTTTAACTTGGGTTTGTAAGCAGGAATTGATAGAATAATGGTCTACTGATTGGCTGTTCATTTTAACACCCAGTTTCAAATGTTAAATCATATTTTGGCCATGTATTTGGTTTTTACAGTTAATTGCCACTTAACAAATTATATTTGTTTGTTTGAGTTTGTATACATTAGGCCTTATATTTCCTAAGAGTGCAGTTCAGTGTTTTGTGTGTTTGACTCTGTTAGTCACTGGGTGATATCATCTGTACACAAGCACTGTCATGTTTATTTTGACATTGTGTAGTGAATAATAATGTACTAGAAGGCATAGGTTATGATGACTCAAGTACAACCAAGTGTCTCATATGAGCAAACACATGTCATCAAGAACTCAATGACTTGTGATTACTAGGTTGCAGTGGCAGGCCGTGCATTTCGTACCTGGACCTTCAGTGGGGATTTAACCGACTTAATTCACCTGTTAATACCACCACTATCACGTTGCAATTATAGAAACCATCAATCCTATACAAAAACGCAATATAATTAGCATGGGATTACAGAGAGAGAGAGAAGTATTTCGTGTATTGAGGGTGAATACCATTTTTACTAAAGCATTTTTACGAAACCCAGTTAAGACAACTCCAAACCTCTACACTACAACCGCAATTGTACATCATCTGGAGCAGTTCAGACTCAATATTTATCTAATAACATGACAAAAACATACAAAATTTAAATTAAATACATCATACTCACCAGAGATGCTATTTATTTATAGACAAAATCCATCCTCATGGAGGTGATCTCGGCGTTTCAGTTCCATTATACAAGTCCTTTTCTAGTTTTGCTCTGACCAACCAATTAGAGGACGGTAAAACGGTGACGTCATTGTGGGCCAGCTAGCTGGCCCTGTGAGGCGAATTTGAAATCTGATTGGTTAAAGAAACAGTCCCATTGCTAATACAGTTTAAGCTACATCGGCCAGCACTACTGATTCTGAAGGCCCTGGGCAGATTAGATTGACATGGCAACACATAGAGGCTGAAATCTGATTGGACAAAAAATCTAACGTCCACATACACGTACTGGAAGTGGTGCAGTCAAGAGAAATGCTACGAAATGAAGTGAATAGACTGTTGGGAATAAATTAATACAATGTCGTGGAACAAATATTAGAATTTAGGTTGTAAATGTAGGTCAGATGATGGACACTTCAGACAAACCAATCCATGGAAGAGTTTGAACTTGCTAAGGTAAAACATTGTGGCTGGGGAAAACTTGAAAAAAGATATCCCGTCAGCCAGATGTTTAGCTCTCGTGACTCCTAGCAGGTCCGTCACCAGTGCAGTACCAGCACGGTGCTCCAGCACTGTACCAGGCCCAGAGTGGCAGCCCACCTCCCACCGGCCTGCCTCGAGTCACTCTACCAAGTGGTCAGCAAGCAGCAGGTGCTCACCCTACTGTCCCACTGGCACAGGGTGTACCTCAACAACAGCAGGTAACTACCACAGGCCAGTCACGCTTTCTTTGTCATTTTGTCTGCTGATGGTTACATACATTGTTTTAACCGATTTCACTCCCGACTAAGGGTTAAATCCAAATCAAGTGTTTTGACATTGTACACAACTGACTCTACAGGTGACCATTCAGGTCCAGGAAGTGGAGCTGGGAGGTGGGGCACAGAGACCAGGTAACTTCTTGTCCACGCCAGGAGGACACAGAGTGCTCGGGAAGCAGCTAAGCGCAGACAACGCAGAGACGCACAGGTGACTCCACCCATTCTCTCACCGCATCCCCTGATGGCTACCAAATCCTCCCAACAATACTAGTGAACTGTTTGTCTTTTTGTTTTATCACCTGCCATCATCTTGACACTCAGAACAGACACCTGCATGTTATTTGTTGTATATTTTTGTGTATCAGTTTATCGTTTTGTTTTTCATTGTTGTCTCTGCGTTTTACATTTCTGCCCTCTTCTTTTTTTAATTGTTTTTTGAAACTTCAGACAGTACTGTTGCTCAGGTCAGAGATTTTTTTGTGTGAGAGGGCAGACTGTGAGGGCATTAGTTGCAACTCGTATTGAAAATTAATGAAAATCCCTCATCATCTATGCTGAAATGACATCCTCAACAAATTCTCCACCTGTGAGTGATTGGATGTTAGTGCTGTGGAAGTGTATGTAAAGGTCCAACCAGTTGGAGTAGGACTCATCCTAGGACCCTATAACCAGTCTCCTGTAACCAGAATTGCCTTCATTTTGAAATTGTGTAACAATCTTCAGGCATATTAAATCAAAATGTATTCATTACACTTCTCAGTGAATACTTAAACCTGCACTCAACCTCGAAGTGTTTGCTAGGATGTCTTTTTGATTAATGAGGGTGTTCTGCAGATTGTTGTAAGATTTGCATACTAAACAGGATTGTGAGAAACTTAAACAGGTAGCTAATTATCTTCTGCTTTTTCCCCTTCTGTCTAGTCGCAGCCTTGGCCGCTTCACATCCGGCTATGAGCAGGCCCAATTCAATCACCACCTCTTTTCTGCCGATGCAGCCTCCCGGGGCACCTCCGGGGTAGTTGGCTCCTACAGCCCTTACCTGCAGGGAGCCTCACTCAAAGTCCCTGGCCTGGAGGGTTACCAGAGTGGGGCAGTGGGGACCAGCAGCTATGGCACCCCCTCTACACTACAGCAGGCCCTACTCTCCCCGACTCCTTTGGACTACCGCCCCCCCCCCCCCCGCCGGGCCCTCTTCCCCCCCCGCCCCTCTTTAACAGGCCATGCCGATCCCAGGCTGCCACCACAAGACCTGGCTGCCTTGCTGAAGAGGCAAAGCCCCCGGCCATGCCCGGCACCCCCCACCCCACCCAGTGGTCCACCCCAAGAATATGGAGAGATGCTGCTTCTCCGCCAGCTGAGCCACGGTGAGAGCTTGGAGCCACCAGCACCACAGGGTCCCTCTGGAGGCCAACACTACCACCACCTCCTCCAGATTCGACCCCCGGATGTCCAGCCACAGCAGCTCCCAGCCCAGGCACCTTGCCCCAGCTTACCTCACTCAGAGAGCATGGAAGAGGATGAGGTGCCAACTACCTACCACCACCCACACGAGGGCCTGCTGGCTAAGGCAGGAGAAGGTCATGAGCTCCTGGGGCCTCCCCGAGGAGGCACTCCGCCCTATAGCTCTCCTACACACAGGCATGGTGGCTACATAAGGAGCGCTCCAGTAACAAGAGGCAAGACCTGTTTATGCTGCAATCACGTAAAGATTAGCATCAGCGTAGTGTTTTTTTTTTTTGTTGTTTTTTTTTTTTACTGTTTTTGGAAACCTAATAGCCAGTATACTCATACATTTAATGTTTTCTGTCAGAATCTGAGCATGTGGAGTGCAGACCCCCTGGGCAGGCCATGGAAGTGCCTGATCATAATGGTGTGGGCTATTCTCGAGCTCCCCAGGGTGACGCCTATAGGTCCCGTGGACAGTTACAGCGCCACCACACCATCCAGACCTCTGACGATGCCTATGTGAGTGAGAGTCTGCTACTAATTTACATAGACACCATTTCGTTATGACAAGTTGTAGTAAGCCCAAATCAAACTGAGCTTTTCAGTGTACTGTAAGTTTGATACCATGAAACGGTGTTGGCAGGAACAGTCTTACATTACTGTTCATTAAGTATAATTTTTTTCCCATATGTCTAAAGATGTTATTCACTTCCTTCTCAGGATCAGGCAGACCCCATGTCTGGGATGAGCCTATTGGCCGGGAAGGCACTAAGCTCCGCTCGCATGTCAGACGTCCTCAGTCAGACATCACTGACAGGAAGCCAGCAGCTGCACCAGCGGGGAGAGTCAGGTCAGCAGACATGCAATTACTTGAAACGTTGTTTGGGATTTTATTTGTTTATTTATTTTTTGGATCACTAGAAGATGTGTGTTTCTTCTGCAGTGTGTGATATCGATGGGGAGCTCCATGCAGCAACCTGCTACCCCTCCTCTTGCATCAGTGACATGCTCCACAGCTATAAGCCCCCTGACCTGCAGTACAGTATGGAGCAGGCTGGTGTCTAGCACAGGTATACATATATACACACCCACACACACACAGAGCACAGGTTTAGTAAGAGATTGCAGTTTTCTAAATTATTCCTGTAGAAAGTGACAAACAACTTAAAAGACACGGAACAAATTCCCTTACCTTTAACGCTTGTGTGTAGCCTCAAGCAGTACACCTCTTTCATCCAGATGAGTGGGAATGCAGCCAAAGCTCGTCCAACTGGTTCCTTTTGACTCCATGTTATATTATGCATTAGTGTGTTAAACACATTTCTGTACAGATTATATTAGAATGTTTTTGACCTTGCTTTTGTGGTTTGTATGGTTTGTCCATTTTGTCTCCTTATGTTCATCCTGTGCAGGTTTTATTAGTGCCTATATGCATTCACTCTCTTGGACCTTTACGTGTTTTGTTTTTACAACTGAATCTCAGTGGGTTTTTGGCATCAATAAATCCAGACAGACTTGAGTCTGGAAAACAAATTAATCTATTTTTAAATATAACACTCAAAATGATTGATTGCTTAAATTGTCACCCCACAAAGTCAATATTTACTCGCAGCGGCAGCAACCGTAGCCTGGAGGATATGTGAATAGATCTGTATCAGCTTTTCACACCCAACGATAATTTTTTTTTTTCTTGTGTTGCTCAAGATCTGTGAGATTTAACAGTCAGTCAGTAGTAATGTTCAAGACCTGAACTGAGGTCTAAACACTGACTTTGCTGCTAATTTTTTTTGATTGGTACCCTTTACAAAACTAGTTGCTTATTTGTTTGTGATTGATTTTTGTTTGTCTTTGGTTTGTAGCTAGTTTTTGACAGGAAATCGACTAATCCAATTTTAGTATTCGAATATTTGAGATGCCCCCTGCCGCCGCCACCCAGCAGTGCCAGTAACACCTGCATTCTTGTTAGCAAAGCTCTGTGTGCAAATCGTTGAGGTAGCAGCTTCTGCTGTTCTTTGCTCTTTCTGGGTAAAATGACAACCAGCTGGGTCATACCCGCGGTCGCTAACTAACGTTAACTCCGTGACTTAAATTGATGACAAGACAAAATGAAAGTGGGTTTCGTTGGGTTTATGACCTTACTGCAGCCGGTGGACACACAGACAACATGCTGTCTGCTGTTAGCTGAAGATCGTTTGAGGTAAAGAGGCATCACTCTGTAACACTACTGAATAATCATCAGAGTGAATTGAGTGCTTCTCCGTCATTCCAATAACTCCAGCAGAGTGAGACATCTTCACAGGAAAAACTGTCAATCATTCTCACATCCATGATGGAAATGTACCACATTCTGTTTGCACGCAAATGGTTATGAAGATAAGTTGCCTGTTCATCTGCTACATTAAATATTGTGTAACTTTCATTAGCTTTTTGTTTTGTTTTTGGCCCGAGGTACTGACAGATCGGCAAAGAGGTACTTTTAGCTGCAGCTTAATGGTCAGCCCATTAGCCCCCAGGCCCACAAAAACTGAGCATTATAACTATCACGACAGAATTTTTTATAGAACTGTTACATCATGCTGTATTCATTTTTGTTAGATGGACCTAATAAATTGGTAACTGAATGTATGTAAAGTAGATGTTCAGAAAAATGTGTTTGTGATTATACTTGTCCGTTGACCTGCAAATTATCAAAGCCATAATAACTGATTTTGTTGTCATACCCATAGACTGTATGGTCACACCAGTCATCTAAATAAGCTTTTGCTTAAAGCACATCCCATTTATTATGTGTACATGGAATGTGCCGGGGACTTTGAGTGGGGCTCCCAGCAGGTAAGGGCTGTAGGAGCCAACTACCTCGGAGGTGCCTCGGGAGGCTGCATCGCCAGTAAAGAGGTGGGGATTGAATTGGGCCTGCTCATAGCCGGATGTGAAGCTGCCAAGGCTGCAAAGACAGAAGGCGAATCATACTACAGGGTCGAGGAATCGTACTAAATTTTGATGAATGAATTATTCAAGCTGTTAACCTTTACTAATGTACATTGTATAATTTGTTCAGAACAAAATTACATTGCAACGGTCGGTGGAATCTAAATCATCAACCCATTGGAGGGCTGTATTCAAAATCATGCAAAATCAAAGTGAAAAACTGAAATGGCGGGCTCATCCAAGTTGCATGAATTTTATCACAGCAGCTCATTATGTAACTCAGTAGCATGGCCCTGCGTGCCTGTATGCACTCCTGATGCACCGATACATAATGTCCCATAGGCGCTCAATTGAATTTAGTTCAGGGGAACGTGAGGGCCACTCAATGGCATCAAAGCTTTTGTCATCCAGGACCCGTCTCCACATTCTGGCCACATGAGACCGGGCGTTATCCTGCACCAGAATGAACCCAGGGCCCACTGCACCAGCGTACGGTCCGAAAGTCGCTCGGAGGATTTCATCCCAGTACCTCCCAGCAATCAGGGTACTGCTGGCTTTGGCATGGAGGTCTGTGCTGCCCCAGACCACTGACTCACCTTCAAACTGGTCCTGCTCAATGATATTACAGGCAGCACAACGTTCACCACGGCATCTCCAGACACTTTCATGCCTGTCACATGCGCTCAGTGTGAACCTGCTCTCATCTGTGAAGAGAACGGGGTACCAACGACAGACCTGCCAACTCTGGTGTTCTCTGGCAGAGACCTGCCAATTCTGGTGTTCTCTGGCAGATGTTTTGTCATCCAGGAACTGTCTACACACTATGGCCACATGAAGCACTAGGAGAAGTCTGTTTGTGACAGGCCGGTGAGAAACATGCACACCAGTAGCTGCTGGAGGTCATTCTTGAAGTGCTTTCGCAGTGCTCCTCCTGTTCCTGCTTGCACAAAGGAGCAGATGTCGATCCTGCTGGGGGGTTGTCGTCCTGCTATGGCCTTGTCCAGCTCTCCTGGTGTAACGGCCGGTCTCCTGGTATATCTTCTATGCCCTTGAGACTTTGCTGGGAGACGCAGTAAGCCTTCTTGCGAATGCATGTATGGATGTGCCATCATGGAGTAACTGGACTACCTGTGCAACCTGATTGGGCTGTAGGTACTGCCTCATGCAGTGGTGACAAGGACTCTAGCAGAACACAAAACCTGAGGAGAATTAGTCAAGAAGGATAAGGAGAGAGCATTTGTCTGTGGCCATCACACGCAAAATCATTCCCTTGTGGGTGTTGTCTTGCTTTTGTCTCTCATTTGAACCTGTTGTCACTTTCATTTTGCACCAAAGCAGGTGAAACACAGTCACTTCTTAAATGAAAACAGCGATATACCTGAACTTTAACTTACTTGATATTATACTGTGATGATTAAGTGTTCACTTATTTTTTTAGCAGCTTACTAACATGCAGTATGTTGGACTTTAAATACAAACTAGAGTGACAATATTTATTTAAATGTGATTTTTGCAACACAAGATTTAAGATTATTTATCAAACCATAAAAGGTGAGTAGTGCTAAGTAAAAGCAGAGGCAAGATGATTCACTTTTTATTTATTTCACTCTGTCTTCTTGCAGGAAAGGGTGTGTCCTGTGTACAGTGGTCCATATCAGCCATCCTGAGTTGTGTTGACTTGAGTTGAGCAGCATCACGCCAAACCACCTTCGTCTGCCCGAGCGGGGGCGCGCTACGTCCATCTGTCTGTCTCCATCAGTCCCTGTGAGGGCAATCTGCGTGGGAAGAGGGGTGGGGGACATCAGAGGGGGTGGTAGGCACAGGTGAGGCCTCTGGATTCAGAGGTCAAAGTGCCAGCATTTTCTGCACAGACATCAAGCATTCGCTGCTGCAGGTTGTCTCCTCTTCTCACCTGCCATCATGGGTACATTGGGGTTCCACTCTTCTTTCAGCTCGACCCCCTCACCTCCTCCCCCTACAAACCTGGCCCACATGCCCTTCCTCTACCCACCACGCCCACCTGCTGCCCTGACTTAAACCTCCCCTTTCACCCTTCATTCCCTATTAACTGTTGGCATACTTCTTTATGTGCCTCCTTGGCCAACACATTGATACATCACACTCACAAGAACATGGAGTCCAGCATCTCAACAAAACATACACACTGTTGCCACAAACCCAAAGTATTCACATTAGGTGAGTGTGTGTGCGTGTGCGCATGACTAAGAAGAAAGGAGGAGAAAGGTGTGTGTGAGGTTCAGTCTGCTCCTCCCTCTCTCCCCTCTCCTGCTGTCCTGCAGCAGATCATTCCGGAGTGGGCTGACATGTCGGCAGCGGTGGCCACTTATCAGCCAGGTGGCAGGTATTTTGGGTCAGGTTCAATTCTCTCCAAAGATGGAGCTCAGTAACATCGCACAGGACAAACCAGCTCTCTCATTGTGTTTTAATTCTTGTTCTGACTTTTGTTTTCTTTTCTATTTTGTTTTAAAATGTCATTTTTACTGTTAATGTCCATGTAGGCATTATGTTCATTATTGTTACTCTTATTACTATTTTCTGTAAAAGATGTTTTATTGTAATAATAATAATTATTATTAAAGGAAAACAGTTCTGTGTTGCAAGGAAGACAGCATTGTTTTTTTTTGGTTTCTTAAATAATTCTGCACTTTGAGTTTGAGCTGTCCTCTGTCTGTTTCCACCCCTCCTCACACTTCCATGCTCTCATGCTGTCGCCCTGCTTTTCCATTCTATCCTCCCCGCCTTGTGTCAGTCCTTTCCCCTTCTTCCTCTCACATGTCAGTGACAGTGTATTGCATTGTGGGTAGTTTTACCAGACATTTGTTCCTTTCCTTGTACAGTGATGCCATGTATAGAACGCTGTTGAAATTTCTGTACCAAATTTTTTTTTTCCTTACTTTTTTCTCTTTGTTTTTAGATGTTGGGAGGTTTTTTTATACTGTTATTGTTTATCATTTGTATTTTTGAATGTCTTCAAAATGTTTTGTTTTTGTTTTATCAATCTTGAGATTCCTAGCCAAAAGACGACAGAGAGAAGAGAGACGGTGCTCTTTGCTTGGTAAAAAAAAAAAAGATTGTTCTTATTTGTTTTAACATTATTCTATCGAGAGACTTGAATAAGAATTATTTTGTGTTGCTTTTTAAAGTATTTCAGTTGTTGATGTTGTGACTGTCATCCTTGTTGATGTTGGGGCTGTTTTCTGTTAATGGGGTAGTAGTGGCAGGCTATACAGGGTCAGGCTTTGGGCTTTGTCTGGGATGGTTTGGGTGCTACAGAGACTTCACACTCTTAAAAAAATGTGGGAATAACTTGTAAAATAGCTGACATATCATCCTAAACATCACAAGCGTGGAGATGGACAAACCCACTTCTCTTTCTCTTTTTCTTGCCACTCCTACCTATTTGCTGTGATCCTCCCACCATGTTTTACTGTATCAGCTTCTGATCGGATGCCGCCTTACGGACACGGCCCCTCCTCTGAAGTTGGCCTTGTCACTATGGCAACCAAGGAGGAAACCACAGCTACTACTATTCCTCGCCTGGCATCTCCCCTGATTTGATTTTCTTTAACTTATCTTGTTACAGATTTGCTTTGTTTCCCTCTCACGCCTGCTGGGGACAATCGGCAGAGGTGATTGCTGCATTTCATGAACGGTTTACCAGATCATGTTGTTGTTGAATGCACATGGACACACCTCCACACCATAAAAGGGAAACATTTCAGGAGGTGCCCTTTAGAATGAATTGGACTCCCAAAGCAGAGGAATACATGTTTGTGGGCAAATGAGTATTAAATGTGTTTACCAAGATCTGTAGCTTAAGCTGAGTCGGGTTCAAGAACAGCCAGATGGTGGCTACAGCATACTGGGGACTACAGCAGAGCATTGACATCCCCCCCCTTTTTTTTTTTGGATGTTTAAAGTTTAATTTCATTGTTTGACCTCTCTTTATTCTCCCACATACAGTACCGCTGCATCTTGAGTTTTTGGGTGCATCAAGAGACTGTGGTGCAAAGATTAAAGATCCACTTGTGTGTGTATACAGGCCCGATTTCACAGTACCTGGCTGCACAGTTGACATTGTATGCTATAAATCTCTGACAGCTGTAGATGGGGTCATGCAGCGCCTGCGCTTTCCATTTGCATCATGTCACTTCCTGTTTACCATTCACTCTTTATAAGGCATCTTGTGATTAGCTTTAGCGCTAAATCCAAAATTTTAAAACAAGTCCATACAAGAGTAAGCAGTGGCAGTGTTTTCCATTTCTTCCTAAATCGGTCAGTCTCATTAGGCAGAAGAAGCTTGTTGTTCATTACACATAATTATTCCCTCCAGCTCTTGTTCATTCCTCTTTCAGATCTGTTTCCTCTCATTGTTTACACCAAGCCAAAACTAGGATCTGAAAGAGAAAGATTTGAGTAGTTCTCATGTAACAGAGAATACGGCCGGAACGGAAGACGTTGCATGTCTCAATCCACGGCAAGATAGAAACTCTAAAAGTAATACTGGTGGCTCTGCATTGTCTAAGATTGCGAGCAGTATCAGAGCTGTTGTTTCAGAACGGTGAGAGTGGGGAAAGAGCGGAGGCACACAGGAAGAGACAGCTCGAGTGAATGGAAAGTGCCGCACATGATTCAGAGGTGACGGGGGCGGAGAGAGAGCTGCTTCACACACGCCTTCTGCCGGATCAGACTGACCCTTCTCCCCTCCATTTCTTAACTCTTCCATCCTGACCTCCCTTCTCAGCAAGCCAGCTCTCTGCTCCACTCCTGTTTCTTACATTCAATTTGTGTTCTATTGGTTCATTATTTTGCCCTTTTTTCTGTTTTTATCATGTTCATTTCTGTTGAGTACAAAAATACTAAAGTGCAACAATGATTAAAAAGAATATCAACCAAACTGAGATGAATAAATAAATAAATATATATATAAATAAAGAAATAATTTAAAAGGTTTATGATCGTGTTGCCTGTCTCACTTCAAGATAAGCAGTGGCTACAGTCTGAAGAAGTTTGTAGTGTCGCATCTGGTTTATTGTTTTTATGTATTTTGAATTTTAGCATTTCAGACAGGCAGCCACTATTTTTCATTAGACTGAAATTCAATTTGGTTGAGGGAATCTTATGCAATTAAGAATATTTTGTTGCTTCACTGCAGGGTAATTATGACTGCAGAAAAATGACTCTTTTCATTAGTGATGAATCATTAGATTTTATTTGGTATTCAAATGTTGAAAAATTGTGAAAAAAAAATGTCCATCACAATTTCATAAAGCTGAAGGTGATTATATCCAGTATCCACAGATGTAAAATTTGCTTCTGTATAAGAAAAAGCAAGGTTTTTTTATTGATTAAATGATGAAGAACATAACTGCAGATCAATTTTTAATTGAAATACATTTATTTAGTAACCACTTCATCTCTAATAGTAATCTCGCTGTGATGTCAAAATGTTATGTATGTGTCCTGACCTCGGAGCTTAAAAATATTAAAGGTAAGCACAGAGAAACTTTCCCCCTTCATCAGATGGATATGAAAAATGTAGTGTCAAGCTCTGCACAGTGAAGGTCAGCGGTTCAAGCAAAGTATCAATAAACAAGACAGCGAGAGGAGCAGGATCTTTATATTCATGTTGACTTAAGATTGTGCTGCAATCACAGTCCGACAACTGGATTTTTGAGAATGATACTGATATAAATATATGAAAATGCTAGCAATATATTTGCCAATAGTTTTTTTTTTGGTATAAACACAAAGAAAACTATCTAGTTTAGATCCCATTCATTTGATTTTTGTGACCAAGGTACACGATGAGCGAAGCATTTTAATGTAAAAGTCAACTTTTTTGCAGCCTCTGATGGAGAAACTATAAAACTTACATTGTTTCTAAATTACTTTATGCTTAGTTTGGTATTTTTGCGTTGTCTTGTTATTTATTGACCTACATATACACTATAATGATGTATCGACAATAAGCCAGTTTCAGTGAATTCTGTACGATCATAGAAGTGTACCTACTGTATGAGGTTGTTTCTTTGGTCTGCCTCTTGGCTGCAGTGCTCTACATGCTGCTGCTCAGGTCTGTACAGCTGCACTGCAGAGGCTTTTCAGTAACTGAGCTCAGACAGTGTTTGTCTATATTTGTAAATCAGGTGTTACTTTAACATGCCTAATGATGGATGACAGGATACGATCTGTTTATGCCTCCTGTCTGACAGTTGACTCTCTTCTGTCCACTACAGATGCATGTTCAGTTCTGCAGTAGATTGTTAAATATTGATGATTTGCATGGAGCTCCAGCTTCTAGCCTCTATGTCCTCTTCTTGTTTCCTTTCCTCTCCTCCCCCACATCAGTTCTTTCCTTCCCTCACAACTCTGTGCCCACTCTCCTCTCCCTCTGTCTCTCTGCATCCATTTCTCCTTTCCCTGCCTCCCTGCCTTCCTTCTCTCCTCTCTACCCTCCTTTTCCTCCATTCCCTCAGCTGCTTGCACCTTTTCTCCCCTCCTCCCTCTCTCTCCTCCTTGGAGTGGCGACAGTGCGACTGCCTGCGTCAGCCAGCCCTGCCAAGCCCCTGGCAGCTAGTGAACGCTGCTACTGGAGCTGCCGTATACCCTGCAGAGAGCCCTGTGCGTGTGTGTGTGTGTACGTGTGACTGTATGAGTGTACGCAGATGGGAAAGCAACTGAGTCAGAGAGGGCTGCCTCTCATCTCTCTGCTGTTATCACCATCTTTCACCCCTTCTCCCCCTCCATGGGGCTCCGGCAGGCTGAATCACAACACCATCTGCAGAAAGGGCTGAGGTAATGACTGTGTGTATTGTCCAGGGTTGTTTCTGTATTTAAATGTACACATTTGTACTGAAATGCTTGCATGTAGTCTCGCAAATGTGTGCAGTATGTGGGTGTAGATCTAGACTGTATTGTATAGCCCCTTGCAACCAATCAGATTGCCCTGATGGCCAGTGCAAATCACACATTCTCAACCTGAGTGCAAAGAGCTGTAACACCTTGTGTCGTTATGCATGTGGTAAAAGACTTTCTTGGTTGTGCCCATATGTGTAGATTTACGTTTTCTTGATAGATCAGTTCCTGCTTCTTCCGAGGTGCTCACACAGATCACATGACCCAGATTGCAAACAAACACTACTGTAGACATTACTCATTCCCTGCGCTTACTGTGTGTGTGTGTGTGTGTGCACACAATCACAGCTGCAAACAGGCCCATGCATGTTTTGTATTGTAGCAATGGGGTAAGTCTGCTAATTAAAGCTGGGCAGACAATGAATGACTAAAATCTGAGGAACATATCACTGTGTGTTTGTTGTCATCTTTACTGCATTAGGCTACACTTTCAGTAGGTTTGTCTGCTTCTACAAGCTTGCATCACAATCTTACTCAACATAATCTCTTTGTCTCCAGAGGGGGAATTTACCTGAAACACAAACTAAATCCTATGTCCTCATGTGCCTTCGGTCATATTGAGCCAATTTAGTTTTATATGCTTATGTTTTGCAGTTTCCATCTGTGATATTGCTGCTACTGGTTCCTCAGCACTCCACTGATTTAGCATTGGACTCCTATAACTTTGTTGGACTCATGAAGGAACATTTTAAAATGTTTCAAAATGGATGCAGCAGAAACATAGATGTCATCATTTTCATTCCACACAGCCTACAATGCAAGTCAACTAGCACTAGCTTGGCTGGACATTCAGTTATGCTAGCAGTAGCTATTGTAGCCTTGGCCCTCTAGCCTCAGCTCCACACCTCTAGATTTCTTTACTTTTTCCAACTTCTTCAACTCCAACTCAAGTAACATCACTCCACGCTGCTCTCTCTGGGCCACAAAAGGCCTTGTGTAACTATTTTCACAAATCCTATGCAGTACTACTCCCCAAAACAGACTTTCATGTGTAGTATTAGTGGAGTTTAAGGCTCAGTGTTGAGCTTGTCATAAGTAAAATTTGCCACGTCCCACAGATAAAAAACCCATCACCTCGCCTAGTACTGAAATGGCAACACAATTTCAGAAACAGATACTCCAAAACTTCCGCTGTTGAAACCGCAGCGATCTCCTCAGGTAGGGTTTGAGATTTAGGGTTTAACCCAATATTACCATATTTTGTTTCCCATTATGAAACATGATTTGACTTTATAGTAACAATTATGCAATTTCATCTCCAAGCAGGTAGATGTGTGTGTGTATTTGTGGTGCTCTGTTAGCCCAGTATGGACTGTACGTGTGTAAGGAGGTGGGCATCCGGCTCAGCTGTCGTGTTCCTTCACACACTAGCCTTATCCTGGGCAGGTGAGCTACTCAGGAACTGTTATGCATGGCCTGTTTAGTTTCTTATGCATTTATGTATTTATTTGCTTAATTGGAATTAACTAGCAAACCTCTATAAACATCATAAAATGACAATCTCACTCAGTTTCAGGCAATTCTGTTTATAATATCTTGAACTGCTGTGTCCTGTAAGCATGCTAAAAGTTTTATTCTTGTGGTATTTTCTTGCTGATATCATTTTAGATGGAAACAAGGGTATTTACACGAAAAACCAGTAACATTAAGACTCACTAACAATCAGAAGATTGATACCACTCTTGTGTCAGTCTCTGAAATATGATGCAAGAGCTAAGAGACTGTTTAGCATAAACTTAGCTCAGCATAAACACTGAAAGCAGGGAGAAATGGCTAAAGTGACTCTGTCCAAAAGTAACAAAATATACCTGCCAGTAGCTCTAAATTACCTCCAATTAATATGTTATAGTTAATTTGTTTAATCTGTACAAAAGTAGTACTATCGATATGTTTTTACAGGGACTGAAAAGGAAAACTTGGCTGTGTCTCTATACTGTAGTTGCCATGAAATGTATTTATTTTTTTGCATTTTGATATTTGTAAGATTAAACAAATTAGATATAATAGTGGACAGTGCAACCTGAAGACAGAGGCAGGTCAGCCGTGTCCCCCTGCTCCCAGTCTTTGTGGTAAGCTCAGCTGCTGTCACTAGCTTCATATCTAGTTTAACTTACAACAAATGTGTGGAAAGCCATATAAATATAAAGTCACACACATATATAAAAATACATTTTTGTTGCATTTACATTCAGGCTAGATAAAAAGGTGAAATATTTAAATTTGCCATATTTTGCCCATACAGTCCAGTTAACATCAACACTTATCTTGTACCCACAGGAGCAAATAAACCCACCCTCAATATTGATGGACGGCACCGGGCAGCTGTGACACTGCAGGAAAACATGACCCACCGCTTTAACTGCCAGTCAGACGGCTGGGATCCCCACGCCCCACCCTTGCTGACCTGGTACCTGAATGGGGAGCAGCAGAGAGAAACATCACCCAACCGTGGGCGCCTGGTTTTGACATCGCAGGAGGCTTCTGAGGTCACGAGACCTGGGCCCAGTCACAACAGCAACTTCTCTCTGCGAGCTAAAAAGTGGGACAGGGAGCTGGTGTGTGTTGCATCAAACCCCAGGACCGGAGAGAGCTACAATGCCACAGTCGCACTCAATGTCCAGTGTGAGTCTGTGTGAGAAAGTTCAGGACTGTAAGTAGATTTTTCTGTTGATAGGGTGAGTAAAATGTTGAGTTGTTTCTGTCCTTTGTCTCCCAGTCCAGCCAGAGATACTCAGGGTAAATGCCCACTACAGTGAGACCTCAGACCCCGGTTTCTCCCTCGTCCTCTTTGCTTTGGTACGCTCCAACCCGCCTGCCACAATCACATTTGTAGAACAGTCTGGCCAGCTGGTGGCTAACAGCTCTGACTTCCTTATTCTGGACTCACGAAACCACCCCTGGCTGACCAACCACACGCTGAGGGTCACACTCAATAGCCTCTCAGGGAATGCCTCACTGAATGCCAGCAACAGTGTGGGAATGGTGCAGCGCAACCTTACCCTGACAGGTCAGTGATAGTAAAAGTCACAGAGAAATCAATGAGGTCTCTACCACACTAAGCTAACTGTCTCCTTCATATCATCCAAATGGTATTAATCTTCTCATCTACCTTTTGTCAATAGTGGGAATTATTCCTTTAATTATTTAACTTTATATTTGTCTCCAGAGTTTCTGCAATCTCGTGTGGAGGTTCCTATGCTGGGAATAGTGACTGGCGGAGCTATGGCCTTTATGGCTCTCCTCATCCTCAGTCTGATAGTTCTCTGCCTCATGCAAAAAAACAAGAGCAAGTCCGTTGGTGAGACTACAGTGTGTTTATGTGTGCAGCAAGCACGTCAACTGGAAAATATGTACAGCACTCATTTAACAGGATAATACATCTTTGTATATTATGTTACAGATGAGCCAGTGGAGATTCTGATGACCAAGAGAAGGTAAATAAAACCATCAATATTTTGTCATTAGATATTAAAGAGTAACACAGATCCAGGGGGCGAGTCACACAAAGCTGGACAAACACGGTTGTAGATATGTAACGATAGACAGAAAGAGAGTATCACCTTCTGACCACCAAGTGCTAATACTTCATAGTACATCTGAGATGCTAAAGTTAGATGAGGACACTGCTCTCACACTCTTTGCTACTTTTGGACAGAGCCAACCGAGATGTTTCCCCTTGTTTCCGGTCTTTGTAATACAACTAATCCAGGTCTGATATCTCTCCTCCATATGATCTGCTCAGTGCCAGTCTGCTGACAGAGAAAGCTGATAAGACCTACATCCCCAGAGAGAACATGTCTCTGCCTTCCAACATGCAGCTCAATGACCTCAGCACTTTAAGTAAAGGTAACAGTTTCCTACAATAAGATCAGAATCAGGATCAGAATCAGAATCAGCATCAGAATCTGGATGCTTTGCGTGCTGGAATTTGATGTGGATGACAAGTTTTGATGAACCAGACTCTCAAGGGCCTCAATACACTGCATTTCAGTACTTAATGGTAATTTTTTATGAATTTGTTTTTAAACATGCACACCATGTTATAACATATATGCACGTTCCTAAACAAATGTTTATGTAACTAAATTACTACAAATAGGTCAGCACTGGGGGCCCACAACTAGTTTTGCTCCCTGGCTAATCCAGTGATCCAGTGATTTATAGCTTTTATCAAAGAGGAAAGATCAACCTGCCCTGTTTCAAGTTGTGTACTGTATTTACTGTATATTGTGTTTCATTTCACCTGTTGTGTGGTCTTAGAAGGAACAGAGTGTACTTGAATTCAAACACTTAGAATATTAAGAGTATATGTATAAAGGTAAAATAAAAACCGCTAATTGTGAGGACATTTGTGTCATATGTGGCAGATCTACTTCATAGACTGGTGTTGTACACTTACTGTTTTTCCATGGTAGAAGGAAAATATTATAATGGTATGACTATAAAGCAGCAGAATAGAACAGAAACACTGAAAACCCAGTAGTTTGGGTTACATGTGTTAGAACGTGTCCAACACTTTGCTGATAATATTCATGAAAAGAAATTGGTAGGCATACAATTGAACAACAGCTAATAAACTGTCCATAAAATGATACTGTAATAAACAGACCATGCTTGTGTGTGTAAATATAAAACCAGCAGCCAGTTGGCTAGCGTAGTCACTGTACCTGGCCAGGAAATAGCCCAGTACAAGAACTGCACAAGATCACAAACTGCTTTAGTGCACTTTGGTTTCTTACACTTTAGCTTTGTATGGAGTAAACAAAATAAATGTGTTAATGGTGTACTTTAGATATATTGGTAGACAATTTATTTTACCTCCAGTTTTTAGCAGCTACAGTCAGTTAGCTACTGACATCCTTAACAAGCTACTGGCACAGATCGGAGGGCAGTATGCTAAGTACAGTATGTCTGTATTTAATATTAGATATGGGAATGGTGTCAGCCTCTTCATCTAACAAGTAGCTATGAAATAAGTTAATAACTGGTTTTCCCACATTACACTTGCATTCTCCTGTGTCCTCCATCTTTCCTACATCACTTCTTGTAGCACGAGTTGCCGCCCAGCAGAACAGCGTGGGAGAGAATAAGAAAGTGGAAGAGGAGGAGGAAGATCTGTCTTTAGCCTACGCCGCCAGAGGTCAGGAATATACACTCTGATACTGCAGAATTTTATCATTATTTATGTTTTAGCTTCAGTTTGGAGGAACAGCAGTGTTTTCATTTTTTCCTTGTTGGATTTTTCTGAAATATTTTCCCTAATGACTCCCAGGTTTTGCCAGATATCCGATGGTCGGCTACATATATAAAGTGAACAGCACAAGCAGTGAGGAGATCTGGCTCTGACTGACCTCATGACTAGCACATATACTGTACATGCATGCAACAGCATCCAGCGGTGCTGCCTTCTAAGAGGAACCCAAAGAAGACCTGGCAGTCAGTCATTCCACCACACACAAAGAAGGGGGAAGAATGGCCAAGGACCAGAAACGGCCTTGTCCACAAAAGCAAAATACTGATGTTTTTGTCTCTCTGAGTCGAGTGCTTGGGGTATTTACACTGCTGATCTCAGCAATGCAACGCGTTAACAATGCTCATGTTCTGTATGTGTTGACATGATTTCCTCCTGTAGTCACATGCTCATACTGTTGTCCTCGTTGTCCTCCCTGTTGCATTACTGGAATACATTCATTGCTATATGCTAACACCAGAATGTACAAATCAATAAACTGTATGTGAGATTTTACATTTTGAACAATGATATCTAAAGAAGATGGCTTATGGACATTAAACATGTTATCTACTGTATATCTGTATGCATATGTATATGTGTGTAAAATAATATGTCTAATAATGATAATATTGACATTGTATGAAGTAAATGCTGGACTTGTTGTCGTTTTACTGGCACTCACCAGGGGGCGCTCTAAGGTGATTTATAAGTGGGAAAATATGGAGGGTTTTTCGTTAGTCATAATGATCTGATCTGTGTTTTTCAGATGGTGTTGGGGATGACTGGGGCTATAGTAGCAGATGCAGAAGCAAGTTTTTGTGTTTGTGAGTGTGTGTCTGCATGCCAGGTGTTAGGTCTAGGTCACAGGTTGTTGTGGCTTTTCTTCAAACAGGAAGCTAAGTTGTGCTGTGGGAGCTTCTCTTTGCCATCTCTCTGTGCTGCTGCTGTTTCTCTGTGGAGATGGAAACGCAGTGTGTCACACACAGCGATACAAAAATGTACAACATACTGGGGATTTAAATATTTATCTGAACACACATTCATTGCTCTTTGTTTTACCCCATGTAGCTGCTCCACACATCTCCCAAAGCACCTAAACAGCAAGTAGCTGTTAGTGTCAAGAGACCGATCAATCATTTCGGCTAATTCGGTGCTGGTAGTCACTTTATTTACATTGTCAACATGTTTTTCTTCACAGATAGTTGTTCACATCTTTTGGGAAATGTGAAAGCTACTTTAATGAAGCGGGTGTATCACCTGTCTCAGAAGATAACTCAGTGAATCTCTTTAGGCTACATGAAGTGGATTAACAGTTCATGGTGACTTTACTGTTGCATATGAATGAAATATCACATATCCACTTTAATTTAAATCCACTTAAAGTACCGTGTGTCCTAACATCAGTAGTGGATAAAGTATTAATATAATTTACTTGACTAGAAGCAGGACAGTGTAGCAATAGTCCACTACCACCCACTACAAGCTCTGTGCTGTTACTTGAGTCAAAGTACATAAGTATTAAAGTATGAAAAAGTAAAAAATATTCAGTGCAGAAAAGTGGAGCTTGTAATGGAGTAGAAGTTTAAAGTGGCATGAAAAGGAAAACTCAGGTAATGTACAAGTACTTGAGTAAAAGTACTTCTCCCCTCCACCAGCGTGGAGCCGTCCAGATGTAGAACTCAGCAGGGATTGTTCAGACAATACACCAATCACACTCACTTCCTCTACACACACACACAGACAGAGACACTTTGACAGATACTGGATTCTTTGACAGCAGAGACACGGCAGCTTTTTATTTTGAGGTCAGTACTTTTATTAAAAATATATTTAAAATATTACGTTTTTACTTCAGATTGTGTTACATGCAGTGTATGCATGTATGGACAGTCTATGTTCTGATCATACTATGATTTTGTTTTGGTAAAGTCTACCAAACCCAGACTAAAATCAGAGTATATATATTTTATTTACCAAAATTACTGTCTTGCAATAGCACCCTAAATTTTGCCTTGAGTTACCTCTTACAATAAGTTGATTAAAATGGTCGACTGATAGCAGAAAATGGCGTCCTTCCTGTTTTCTGTTTTATGGTTGCTCTTACTTACAGTGATCTGAATCATCTCCCTCTGACACCAACAGAACTCAGAAGAGTAAACACACAATGAAATGTCATTTGGTTTTGGCCGAGTGTTTGCTGCTGTGGATACTGACAGGTCGGTCTCTGTCACAATTTTTTTTCTTAATGACATGAAATCAAACATCTTCATACACCCTATAACAGCAAGGCTTTAAGAAAAATATTTTAATAATAAAAAAAATGTATGTCAATGTCATTAAAATAAATGTTTTCCAATTTCTTTTCAAATTTCTCCCACAGCATTCGTCAGTGGTCAAACAGGTAAGAAGACTGTCTCAACGATGAAGTGGGGCTGGGTATTAGTAACTACCTGTGTGACTGTATGCTTCAATCTAGCTTTATGAAATGAAGGGTAATTTGGAAAAAGAAGCTTAATAATCAACACTTGGTGCAGATTTACTGTGTTAAATGGGAAATTTTCTTTTTCCTGTACAGAAAACATAACTGTGCATTATCACCCTGATGGGATCAAGCTGGAGTGTCCTGTGGGCTACGATTTTGAATCAGGAAATAAATCAATGGTATTGGAATACAAAGATGAGAACTCAAAGGAGTACGTATGCAGTACAGACACCCAGGATGTACAAATCTTTGTGAAATTTCGAAGTAAGTTCCACAGAAACAATTGTGTCTTTTATTGTGTGATGAAAGTATGCATATTTTCTCAGTTTCTATGGGTATTATGCACCTTTACACTGTTTAGTGTTTATTACTTGCATAGAAATTCTATTTTAATGTGAGTACAGAAATTTTTGACAAAAATTAAATCTTTTGTGTGTGTGTGTGTGTGTCCAGCCTGTGACAACTGCATAGAGCTCGACCCTGCTTCGATCGCAGGCATAGTTATAGGAGAAGTGGTGGCTACGGTCATGGTAGGAGTGGCTGTCTATCTCATTGCTTCTCAGGCTCAGGTTAGACCGGTCACTTCTTACAAGAAAAGTAAGCATCCCTTCATCAATCACACTCAAATATTACACCAAATACTGTCTACATGAACAGATATACAGTGTAAGGTTTTAGATAACAGCTGATATGCTTTGTATTATGCAAATGCAAATTACAGCATTTCTCTCATTTATTGCAAACAGTATGAAAAAGCCGGAAGGGGCTCCACTAACACGTGTCTAAAATACAAATGAATGCTTATTTATTATAGAACATGATTATTATACTGCATATCAGAATGAACTGAAATTTTGATAAATAGTATATAGTGTATTTATTAATGCACTAGTTTTGTGTAATATTATCAGTATTATCACTCATCATGAGGTACATACACTAAAGTGGTGCTCCAAGAATTAATGATGTGTCGTAGAAACATGGACAGCTGTGCTAACTACAGGGCATAGGCAAAAACAAAAACACAGATAATAAATAAATAAACACTGCCAGTGACTGAATTTGTAATCATTTTGTTCTGTGTGGTAAAAATGAAGCAAGCAGTGGATCAGCTCTTTAGCTAACAGAGAAAATGCAGAGCCACCAAAAGATTGTTTTTTTACAGTAAGTTCTGCGTTTATCCCACAATGCTTTGCGCACCACTTGTGATCCACAGAGACTGATTGTCTAGGGTCAGTCCTTCAGATGTCTGCACTGCCGATTTAGGGCAAGGCTCTGCAGATACAACAGAATGCAGAGGCGTTATCAAACTTCACACAGTGCATTTATTTCTCATAGCTTATTTTTTCTAAGGCCAGGCTCTGACAGTTCACCTGCTCTGGTTGTGACCACAGCTGTGTCTCGCTGTGGGGTTGAGCTGTGGCTTTGGATATGATTACTGTGAGAGCTACTCTGCAGGCATACAGTACAGTAAATAGATTCAGGAGGTCAGTAAAGACCAGTCAGGACCGGAGAAACCAGGACAACAACAATAACATTTTAAAAAATTACACATTAACATTTCATGACTTAAATAAAAGTAGAAATGGGCACCGGCAGTAAACTGTACTTATTGTGAATGGCTGTTCCAGTGTTACAGGACAAACCCTAATAATCCTACTAATAGAACTATCTTAGTGTCAGTAATGATTAAACATTAATAGCTGGATTATTTGCTCCTTGCAGCTTAACTCTGTTGATATTTCTGTATTAATATTAACCACACACGTATCCTCAGGCTCTGATCGACAGCATCTTGTTCCAAACGAAATGAACAGCAGAGCCCCCAATGACCATTACGAGGTAAGCTGAAACATAGAAGCCTTTCACCAGGCATATGTGATTATCATCTTTAAAATTTAAATGATAAATTACATTTCTCCCTTTGTTTCCCTGCCTTGTCACAACCCACCCCTCCTCCTTCAGCGACTCAAACCCACTCACAAAGACATGTACGACGTGATTCACAACAGAAAATAATGGCGCCGAGGTTCGTGGCTGAAAACACACTCTCCATGTGTCCTTGCATCTTCATCATCTGCAGAAGGGAACAGTTTGTTATCTACTCCAGGGGTCGTGATAAAATGATATGTGATGTGCAACTTGGGTTTCACTTTTTCCTATGTAATTTGCTCTGTGATGGTACAATTTAATCTTGGACCTTTATCGTGTATTTTCACTGTGCCTGTAACATGATGCTCTCAGTAGACTCACATAATGACTGACTTCTTGCTATTGTTTCTTTTGTTCTGCATTGGTCGTTGTTATTTTAGTAGCATTTTAATTAACCAGTGTATTTTTATTAGGTATATACTGTATTATTTTTTCACAAACTATAAGACTATAAGAAGGGCTGCAAAAACTGCCACTGAACATAATGGATTAAAAATAAAGTGTTTATTCTGATAAACAAGAGTCGCATTTTCATGTTGGTGAGTTGTGGAATAATAATTGTCTTGAGTTGTCATGTTGGCAGCAATTGCCAATGGTGGGAATGAAAACTACTCAAGTTGATTTGATTTGATTTATTCTTTCAAGCATGTAAAGTACAGTTGATATGTCAACACACATAATTTTACACATATCCAACAAATGCTAATCCAATATCAATTTACTTATACCTAGTACATGCTTGAATAGAGTAAGAAGAAGTCAGACTTATCCAGTCCTACCCCATGACATCATCTTACCATCATTGGTTTGCAAGCAGTATCTCTACATAGATAATTCTCTTCTACACCACACAAGTAATATACTAAAAAAATTATAACAGAATGTTAACATTCTTACATAATTACATTCTTAAATAATTATCTTCTACACCACACAAGTAACATACTAAAGAATTAATACAAGGTGTTAACATTCATACACCACACCCACAATGTTCCATCTAATTAATCATTAAGCCT